GCTGCAGAAGAGACACACGTGCACAGACCTGGGTGAACTGCGCAGCTACCTTGGCTTGCAGATCACCCGGGACAGAGCACGCCGCACCATTACCCTGACTCAGTCACACATGGTGCAGCAGGTCCTTCAGCGCTTCGGCTTCACGTACTCCTCGCCTCAGGCCACTCCTCTGCCTACTCGCCACTCGCTCTCAGCTCTGCCTTCGGATGAGTCCGTAGAGTCGAGTGGCTCGTACCCAGAGCTTGTTGGCTGCCTCATGTACCTGATGACCTGCACACGACCTGACCTCGCATACCCTCTTAGCATTCTCGCACGCTATGTTGCTCCTGGGAGACACAGACCGGAGCACATGGCTGCAGCGAAGAGGGTGTTGCGTTACTTGTGCAGTACGTCGGGCATGGGGCTTGTGCTTGGAGGGCAGAGTCCAGTGGCCCTCACTGGGCACGCAGACGCTTCTTGGGCTGACGACCAGGCTACGCAGCGGTCGTCACAGGGTTACACCTTCAGCCTTGGTTCCGGCTCTGTTTCGTGGCGGGCTACCCGCTCGTCTTCTGTTCTCGGCTCCAGTTGTGAGGCTGAGATCTACGCCGGGGCCATGGCTGCACAGGAGCTTCGCTGGCTCACCTACCTACTGACTGACCTCGGAGAGCCGCCTCGTTCTCCTCCAGTGCTGTACGTAGACAACAAGGCCATGCTGGCCTTGTGTCGAGAGCAGAGACTGGAGCACAGAACGAAGCACATTGCTCTCCGCTACTTCCTTGCTCGTGAGCTACAGCAGCGTGGTCAGCTGCGGCTTGCGTACGTGGCCTCTCAGGCCAACACTGCTGATATCTTCACCAAGGCACTTGCGCCTTGTGATCATCAGCGCTTCTGTACTCAGCTGGGTCTTGTGCCTTCCTTGCCTCACTTGCTCACCCCTTGACCTTGTTTGTACTGTTGCATATATATATACACCTGCTCTTGCTTGTCTAGCCTTATATATATATGTAATCCTGCATGTGAACTGGCCTTGTGGCCTTGAACTTGTGCTCGGAATGTGTGGTGACTTTGTGATCCACCCTGAGCTTGCTTTGCTTTGCTTGACTGGTCTTGTGACCCCTTGTTCTCCCCCACTTTGCCTATGGGGGTGTGTCAGATTTATATGACATAGCTACTGTAGGCTATAGCGGGGTAGCACATATGGGGTACAGCTTTCTAGGGTTCACATTTGTACCCAACTTTCCCTTAGTCAATCTCATTCCTCGTTTCTTCTCACTTGTTCCACCACGTTGAGTGGGCTTACACACGAGAGCGCATTCCGCGAGGAGACCTTTGTTGCCGCGCCCGATGTAATTAGGTCACGGATGGCCTCACGAGTGAACGCGGTGTGTGCGTGAACCCCCGCGTGGTTTGTGGTTTCGAAGGGTGGCGGTTCTGTAGTTTTCCAAGGCAGCCAATATCCTCTTGCAATAATTGAGATAATAAAACTGCTGTCGCACCACGAGATCCACCAGTGCAGTTGGTTGCGCAATCGGTTGCGCATGACCTTTACCGTGTCGTCCGTGACCGCGTTCTCGTATGGGTCCCGTTCCGCCTCTCGCCACTTGTTGTCCGCCACTGCACGTGGGGTTCAACCGGGGTATGGTGTATTGGGTGATTAGCCTTTGGTCATAGGACCAGCCCGGGGGCTTATACATGCTCGGTGCTACGTCTTCCGCATCTCCTTGTACCATCCGTCCTCTAGTCCCTCTCCTTTCCACATTCTCCTCCCTCTCTCTCTCTCTCTCTCTCTCTCTCTCTCTCTCTCTCTCTCTCCCTCTCTCTCTCTCTCTCTCTCTCTCTCTCTCTCCCTCTCTCTCTCTCTCTCTCTCTCTCTCTCTCTCTCTCTCTCTCTCTCTCTCTCTCTCTCTCTCTCTCTCTCTCTCTCTCTCTCTTTCTCGCACTCTCTCTCTCTCTCACCCCCGCTCTCTCTCTCTCCCTCCCTCTCTCTCTATCTCTCTCTTTCTCTCTCTCTCTCTCTCTCTCTCTCTCTCTCTCTCTCTTTCTCTCTCTCTCTCTCCCTCTCTCTCTCTCTCTTTTTCTCTCTTCCTCTCTCTCTCTCTCTCTCGCTCTCTCTCTCTCTCTCTCTCTCTCTCTCTCTCTCTCTCTCTCTCTCTCTCTCTCTCTCTCTCCCTCTCTCCCTCTCTCCCCCCCTTTCTTTCTCCTTCTTTCTTCTCTTCCGCTTTCTCCCGTTTGCTCTTCTTGTCACTTTCTGCCCCTTAGTCTCAAGTTTTCTTTCCTATCTCAGTTTCTTCCTCTCTCCTCCTTACTCTTCCCTTCTATTCAGGGAGCTGCTCGGGCTCCAAGTGGCTGCCTTGGTTCCACTTTCCTTGTCTCTCACCCCCCCCCCCCCCCCCCCCCCCCCCTTTATTTTTTATTTTTTGAAGTTAAACAAGAGAACTTTATTTCCACACATGGGTACATAGCATGTACTACCCCCATATACGCCCTTATGGCTAGGGATTTCTAAGGCATTCAGCCCATACACCATGCTACTACCAGTCCCGCACCCTCGGTGCTCCCACCTACGCCCCCCGGCATAGTGGCAAGGGGCGCCGCCCCGTGTGCCTCCTCACACGACGGGTGAGGGGCCTTGAGCGCCTCGCCCTCCCATAGGGCAAGCATTTGCCATATGGCCGGGCTGGCCGCAGCGGAAGCACACCCCCTTGAAGCGGGGTTCGTGGCAGCTTGCGGGTGGCATCCCCTTGCCTTCCATCTCGCCGTCTCGGGTAGGCATGCGATTACCACAAGTGTAGCCGGCGCGTGCACGCTTGAGAGCCGCCACATCCGCGATTGCGAGCTTGTATGAGCGTGAGGTTAGCACGCTCTTGGACTGGTATAGCTGAAAACGATCGGCAGCCTCGAACCCCGCCTCGTCCGCCACCAAGAGGACTTCGAAGCGCTTGTGGATGAGCATTTCGATTTCCGCAACGTTGGCAAGGGCGCTTTCGATGTCGCCGTGCTGGAGCTTGAAATTGACGTGCTTCAGGTGTGCCTGGATAGCAGAGAAAACCTCCGCCTGATCACGCACGCCTTTGCGCATGAAGGTGGTGGGTGCGGGTGTGGGGTTGAGGGTTGGAAGAGAAGGTGCGGGTGCGATAATTCGACGACGGGTAATGTTGTTGGGGGCCTCACCATCGTCGTTCTCAGAGTCGTCGCTGTCGTCTTGAGCAGCGATCGGTGCCGGTACGGGAGCGGGGAAGGGTGCGGCAGTGGTCTCGTTGACGCGAGCAGCCTTGGTTGCGCGGGGAGCGGTGACTTCTTTCTGATTTTCGATTTTTGCAGGTGCTGAAATATAGTCGGAAGAGGTTGCGATTGTAACCGGAGCTTGCTGCTGTAACATCGAGAGCAGTGCCTGCATCTGCTGTGCAGTGAGGGACGCGAGGGGGTTGACTGGGGCGGCTTCTGCTGGGGTCGCGACCTTCTGTCTCTTCTGCAGGGTGGGCCCCGGCTGACCAGCGTCGCCGTCCGCGTCAGCCGGCGTTGACTTGACCGGCGCGCGCGGCTGCCTGGGAGCCACACGCTCGTCAGCAGCAGGCACGCGCGACTGTTTCACAGTCGCGCGTGCTTCTTCGGAGGGGGCTCGGGAGTTGCTCCCGAGCAGCACTTCGACTCCCGAAGTGCCCTCGCCGAAATTGTCTTCGGTGTTGGGCTGAAAAGGCCCTTAGGATCTTTGCAGGGGTGAACTCTGGGTAGAGTTGGTGTAGTAGCGGAAGCGTTAATCAAAGAGTTGTGAACCACCTTGCGCTAGTATGTGAGGGCAAAGTAAGTTGATTAAAACAAAGAGATACAAGATTATATAAGAGTACAAGGAATATGAAAGGATACGGTTATAACTGTTTTACTTGTTGCTGTTGCGGTTCGATACAGTGACGACTCGGGCAACTGCTCTGTAGCGAGTCAGTTGTGTGTCCTTGCTGTCGCGCTGTACTTGTCAGGTCAAAGGTCGCTGACCTTTGACTTTCGCGTAACCTCCAGCGGTTACTTCAACCTCCGAGGGTTGACTCGCTGGTGCCTCGATATGCTTTGCTTCGCTTGTGCCTTAGTGTTTCGACACGACAGAAGCGCTTAGGACCGATTGTTTCCAACATTCGGCAGGGCGTTTTCCGCGGCGGTCAAGTGCCCCGGGCACGTTCGCGTGCTCCGAAGCGCCCCGGGGTAGTTGTCTTTTCCGCCTCACGATTAAGTGTAGTGTTGGCGGGCGCCATATTCGCCAGGTTGTGTTGGAGAATGTCGGTAAGCAGTGTCGACGGGGACTTGAACCTCGGGAGAGACTGCGTCTTCGCCAGGATGAACGAGAACTAGGAAAGTAAAACTAGAAAATTGGAAATGAAGAACGTGGGTGGAGCTACTGAACTCACGTTCCTCTTTTGTAGGCAAAAGAGGGGTGAGTAGCGTCGCACCGCTACCTTTGCGTTGCTGGCCACGTCCTCGCTTTCACAATACGAAATTTTAAAAAGTGTTACACTTTTAAAAATTATAATTTTGTTCAGCTGACCTTTCTTACCAGATGCAGAAATAGAATAACAATAATATAATAAAACCAGACAAACTCAAGTGCTGATCACATAATTTTATCACACAAACAAACCTGACCTGACCCGAATGTTACGGTAATCCCACTCCAAGCCACCTGTCTCTTCATCTCTTCATCCGTCGACCGCTCCACCGAATCCTTCTTTACCGTGCCTCCTCAACCCAACACCCAAGCGGCCTTGCATGCTGGCTCTCCAGCCCAGCCCCTGAGAGGGCCAGCGAGTGCTCTCACTCTGCTGTGATGCACCGAACGTGACAACCTCTCTCAACCTGCCAAAAGGCCAACCCACCTTCAGCCCACAACGCCACGCCAGACTGCTTTCCTCCATTTACACGCCATCCATCCACCCCTCTCCCCTCACACACTTCAACCTACATCCCCACCCTATTCCCTAATAACTTCACCCAAACCCCCACAAACCACGCCCGGCTCTCCCCATCCCCCCCTACCCCAGTCGCTTGAGCAGCAGTTGCAGGTCCTGGCCTTCAGAGGCCATGGGTTGGGGCCACACAGCACCCAGCGGCGGCCGCACGAGGCGGTAGCCGTGTTGCAGGTACAGCTGGAGGGCGCCCTCGTTGCGCACGTCGCAGTGCAGCGCTGCCGCCCTGCACCCCCACCGCCTCGCCTGCGCCTCCGCCTCTGCCAGTAGCCTGCCCGCCACGCCCCTTCTCCTGCGCACTGCCCTCACTGCCATGTTGCTTATGTATGCTATGCCCGTCCTGGGAGTAAGAAACGGTGGTGTGGGGGGAAGAGGAGGGAATGGGGGAGGGGGGAGGAGGTGGAGGAGGAGGAGGAGGAGGAGGAGGAGGAGGAGGAGGAGGAGGAGGAGGAGGAGGAGGAGAAAGAAGGAGGAGGAGAAGGAGGGAGGGAGCACAGGGGTTGAACTTTCTTTGGTTAAGTGAGGGAAGCGAGTACTCTGTCCGATGGCATGGCAGCAGCAGCAGCGGCACTCATGGTACAGCTGGCAGCAACGACATGCAACTCTGTCCCATGCCATGCCATGCCATGCCATGCCATGCCATGCCATGCTATGGTTCAACCTCATCGTACCTTTTGACCCCAATTAATCAATCCCTAACCATCACCTCTCATTCTCCCCACTCTCGCTTCCCTTCCCCTCTCACCCCCCTTCTCACCCTCCCTCCCTTCCTCGCACGCCACCCATCACCCACTGACCGGCGCCTGTTGTGTGGCTTGCGGCGCGGCAGAAACTCCCCAGCCGTGTCAACCGTGACAGACCCCACGAGCCCCCTGGGCCCCACATTCAGCCCGGAGAAGGTCCACGAGAGCACGGGCGGGCCCAGCAGCATGGTCGCCAGCACGGGCCGGAACATTGGCCCGCCGATTAAGTCCCGCTCGCCGTCAAAGTCCTTGATCGCTGCCGACGCCGCGTGCTCAGGGGGTGGCGCGCGGGCTTTGGTCGCGGGCGCGGTTGTGGAGGTGGTGGTGGTGGTGGAGGGGGAGGAAGAAGGGGAAGAGGAGGCGGAGGGGGAGGCTGAGGCGGAGGCGGAGGGGGAGGCGGAGGGGGAGGAAGCAGTTGTGAGGGCGAAGGAAGGAGGGAGGGATTGGAGGAAAGCTGGCGAGTCAAAGGCCACCAGGCACTTCTTGTACGTGCCGCGTGGCATGCTGAGATTGGCCAGGATCGCCGAGACCCTAGAAACGGAAATCGCATTGGTGAGGGGCAGAAGGATATTGTGCGGCAGGGCATGAGGTGAAGGTAGCGAGAACCAGAGAAACCGCAGAAGACGACAGGGGAAGTGGGAAAAATGAAGGGGCGGCAATGGGGGGGACGAGGAGAGGGAAGAGGGGAAAGGAAGGGTAGGGAGGTGTGGGTAAGGAAAAAGGAGAAAGTGGGAGGGAGGAAGGGGTGCAGGTGATAGGGCGCGTGTGTGGGGGGCAGCAGCAGAACGCATTGGCTACCTGTCCATTCGCAAAATATAATTTAGCGGGAAGGGCGCGTGCGGGAAGAACGCAGCGCAGTGCACGTCAGCAGCCTCCCAGTACTCCTCGGGCCGCGCCTCTCGCACCACTAGCGCCTCGGCGTCTCTCTCCAGGAACCCGTTTATCCGCAGCGCGCGCTCGCGCAATTGCTCTTCCCGCAGCCTTTGCGCGCTTTCCCTGTCCGCTTCCCCGCGGAATACCCGCCGGGCCGGCACGACGCCAGTAACTGTCGCGGACGTTTCGGCGAAGTTCGTCGCGGCCTCGCCATTTGCGGAGACGGTTCCTGGCCGGCGATGGCGAGACGATGCGCTACTCGAGCTACTTGCGCTTCCATCGGCGCGTCGATCTGATCCCCACGCTGCGCGGATTGACGTGCGGCTCGACGCTCTTAAGCAACGAGCGCGAGAAGGTTGGCCGGAACGGGAGAGGGCGTCCGAGCGGGGAGGATCTAGGGAACGGGGGGAGTGAAAGGCGGAGAGCGAGGAGAGGGCGGGAAGGGAGGAGATGGAGGAATGGTGGCATGGCGAGAGCGCGTGGGGACTTCGTGATTTTGGAGTTGGCAAGGAGCGCAGACGAGAGTTTGGTGATACGCGGTGCGGCGAGCCGACGAGGAGTGGAGGGCGCGTGAGCTTGACGGCAGGTGGAGCTGCCATTGCGGGGGAACGGAGAGAGGGGAAAAGGAATGGCAGACGAGCGGAGTAGTGGCACGCAGAAGAAGTGTCTAGGGCCGTTGATCGAGGAAAGGATCGCACGGTGGAGAGGCAGATAGGATCAGACCACTCAAACCGGGGAACAGCGTAGACGAACTGGACGCACGGTGAATTGATGCCCCGAACCTGAAGAGAGCCTGGTGTACACCAGGGACTTCCCTCCCTGACCTGATCTCTGCGATTTTGCAGCACTGATTTGCTTTGCACTTGCCAGCTCCCACGCACATGGACCTGCCTCGCTCTCACTCCCAACCCCTGCGGTGTTCCCCCAGTCGGTACTCCCAAGGTGGTGGACTTTGGCAGGAAGGGAGGGCTTGTGGTGGGTAATGGTTTGGATTGGAGAGCTGATCGACTGGTGGTTGTGATGCAGCGCAGGCTGCATGCTTCGGGCGATTGCGTTGCGAACCATTGGACGAATTGCTGCGATTTCAAACTTTCCCGCAGACGAATTTCTTGCGAACTCTACACGAAGGGTTATGCGTTTGCGACACGGAGCGGGTGGAGCAAATCCAACAGGCTTGACGATTCGTGACAAGCGGATTGGACGCGTGGAAGTTGAACCGAATGGACCAATTGGGGAGCAACGAGGAGTTGAGCCTTCTCGCACTGTATGAACTCCCTCGTTATAAAGCAGAAGTTGCGGTTCAGTAGGACTTGAACATGTGTTACGGGTGCGATGGAACTAGATAGCGAGGATTGCACTATGTGGGTCAAAAGTACAAAAACTGAGCTAAGGCATGAGCGAATACTTATGTGCGAAAACATGCAACGGTTACGCGGTGCGTGCCAGCTAGCTAGTGCTAGACTGGCATCGAGGTTCGGGCTAGTCCCGAAGCGTAGGCCGACTCGGCCAGGCCAGTTGTGCATGGTTTGGTAAAACAGTGCCCGCATAATTGGCGAAGCCCCGTTAGCAGTAACGGGCGAACAACGGCTGCTGCTGTACGCGATGTTGATGGTCGCGGTAAGGAATGTCGAGAAAATTCCTTACATCTCGACATTCCTTACCGAGCGGACGAAAAACGCTCGGAACGAGCGCTTCCAGCCCCAAAACGCGAAAGGATCCGCACACGTGCAGGAAGTGCAGCAATCGCTCTTCATTCGCGAGCGCCGATGACCGATGATGCTCGCAATTCTTTCACGCCCTTGCTGGCTTGGTAATAGGCTCAGACAAGTGTCAAACTTATATGATCTAGCCTGTGTAGGCTGTAGCGGGTTAGATACTAAGGGGTACACAATTCTAGGGTTTCATATTTGTATCACTTTCATTCCTTAGTCAATTCATTCTCGTTCTAAGTTTCTCATGGTATCGAGCAGGTTCCCTCGTGGGAACTGTTCCTAGGGCCCACCAAGATTTTTTTTCCTACCCGGGGCGCGTGCCGCCCCTGCCCGAAGCGCGCCTAGTGTCCCGCCCTTAGCGACCCGTCGCGCCCTTCTTAGCGGCCCCTCAGGCCCCGTCGCTGCCCTCTCTAGGCCCCGCGTGGCCCCTTAGCGGCCCCGTCGCCGCCCCTTACGGCCCCGTCGCCGCCCCTCACGGCCCCGCGACCGCCCCTTACGGCCTCGTCGCCGCCCCTCACGGCCCCGCGACCGCCCCTTACGGCCCCGTCGCCGCCCCTCACGGCCCCGCGACCGCCCCTTACGGCCCCGTCGCCGCCCCTCACGGCCCCGCGACCGCCCCTTACGGCCCCGTCGCCGCCCCTTAAGGCCCCGTCGCCGCCCCTTAAGGCCCCGTTGCCGCCCCTTACGGCCCCGTCGCCGCCCCTTTCGGCCCCGTCGCCGGCGAGCCGCGACCCCGTAGCCGCCCTTAGCGGCCCCGTCGCCGTCCCCCCTCCCCTCGGCCTCGTCGCCGCCCTTCAGCGGCCACGTCGCCGCCCCTCCGCGGCCCCGTCGCCGCCCTTCAGCGGCCCCATTGCCGCCCTTCCGCGGCCCCGTCGCCGCCCTTTCGCGGCCTCGTCGCCGCCCTTCAGCGGCCCCGTCGCCGCCCCTCAGCGGCCTCGTAGCCGCCCTTCAGCGGCCCCGTTGCCGCCCCTTGCGGCCCCGTCGCCGCCCTTCGCGGCCCTGCCGCCCTTCCTCGGCCCCTCAGCTGCCCTTCCCGGCCCCGTCGAGCAGCCGAGCCGCCGTCACCGCCGAGCCGCCGAGCCGCCCTTGCCGCCGTGCCGCCGAGCTGCCGAGCCGCCGAGCCGCCGAGCTGCCGAGCCGCCGAGCCGCCCTGCAGCCGAGCCGCCGAGCCGCCGAGCCGCCACGCCGCCGCAGCCGAGACGCCGCAGTCCCTGCAGTCGCGGCCCTGTCCCTGCCGGCCTGCCTCGGCCCGCCCCACCTGCCTGGTAGGAGCAGCGCCTCTGCCACTGCACTGCCCTACCCCGCTGCTCTCTCTGTCAGTATACTGCTGTCATGGCCACCCCCAGTGTTCTCACCTTTGACGCTGAGGGTCGGGCTGTTGACTTTGAGGTCTGGGTAGATGATCTGCAGCTTTTCCTACAGTGCGATAGGGCAGACGGTCTCTCTCTGTTTGACCTCACCTCTGGTGCCTCTCCTGCCCCTGCTGCTGATGCTGACGCCACTGTTCGCTCACAGTGGGCCACGCGCGATGCTGCTGCTCGCCTTGCTGTGCGCCGCCACTTACCGACCGCTGAGCGCGCACATTTTAGTCAGTACAAGAGTGCTAAGACCGTGTACGACGCTGTCGTTGCACGCTACTCTTCCCCTGCCACTGCTGCCCTTAGCCGCCTCATACTGCCGTACCTCTTCCCTGACCTCGCCGCTTTTCCCACAGTCGCTGACCTCATTACGCACCTTCGCACTAGTGACATTCGCTACCGCGCTGCGCTTCCTGCTGAGTTCTGCGCCAAGAACCCCCCCCCTATGTACATCACCCTCTACTACATAGTCACCCGGCTCCCTGACACCCTTCGCTCGGTCAGGGACCACTTCCTCTCTGTTTGCCCCACCACCCTCACCGTTGACCTCCTCGAGGAGCGCCTCCTAGCAGCAGAAAAGAGTATAGTCGCTGTAGGAGCCTCTCGTGGTGACCCTCGTACCCCTGTCTTTGAGGGGTGCTCCCCCTCCCCCCTCTTGCCCTCTGTTGCCTCTGCTGCTGCGGCCGACCTCGTTGGTCTTGAGTCAGTCGGCGCGGCGTCTGCCCCTAGCGGGAGACGCCGCTCAGGCAAGGGCGCTGGAGGAGCTGGCGGGGGCGGTGGACAGTGGAGGCGGCGGAGGGGGTGGGGGTGGCGGTGGGAGTGGTGGCGGGAGTGGGGGCACTAGTGGCGGCAGTGGAGGCGGAGGAGGCGGCGGTGGTGGCGGTGCGAGCGGAGGTGGTGGAGGTGGAGGCGGTGGTGGAGGTAGCGGCGGCGGAGGTGGAGCTGGTCGGGGCGGCTCTTCGCAGAGGGTCGGCTCCGGTGGTGGTCAGCGCCAGCAGCAGCAGCAGCAGCGCACTCGTGAGACCCCTTCCCCCCAGCAGCTTCGTGAGTGGTACACTGCTCGTCAGCGGGGTGGGGGTGCTGGCCCCTGTACCTACGTTCTACGTACAGGCGACCGCACGAGTGAGCAGTGTGGGGGTCCGCACTCCACCCAGCGCTGCTTCGGCCGCCTGACGGACGCTTGGGGTCATCAGTTCCCCGACGCTACTGAGATCCCTCGCTGGGGCGAGCTGTTTAGGGCGGGTGTTGCGATCTTTGATCTTGATTATG